AGAGAGAGAGAGAGAGAGAGAGAGAGAGAACGGAACGGGTCGCGCTATCGTCTTGGACGTTCACGTCGGTTCAGAGGTCAATCAATTGGAAAAGAGAGAGAGAGAGAGAGAGAGAAAAAGGGCCGACGGGAGAGTATACGTTGAAAATCAGCCGGTCGCGTTATAATTGAAACCGGCAATCTTTATCGCCGTAATTACTCACGGACTGGTGGTGGATTTTTTTTTTTCTTCTTCTTCTTTTTGTTTTCTTTCACGAGAGTCAACCTCTCTCTCGCGAGAGAGAGGTTATTAATAAACGCGAGAGAGGATCACTGGTAGACAGAGAGATATCCCTCGCTGGTCAACAATCTTTCGCCTATCTTCCGATAGGAAATCGTGTCAGGCGAGTAAGCTCTTTCGGGAAGGTTTTCGCGCTCAGTCGCGATCATCGCTGCGGAAAGGCTTCTCGGATGAATTTTTTTTTTTTTTTTTTTTTTTTTTCCTTTAAACCGCGCGCCAGGCTCTCGAGAAATCAACCTTCGAAATTACTCGACTCGAATGATTCCCGCGTTCGTAAACAGGGAATTCGGCGTTGTTGTACCGGGCTCACAGTTCGTGAGCTGTTTCGAAATTGGAATTTGAAATTGATAATAGCGGGCAAACAACAACAAATTCGATAAGAACGGGACCGTACATAACAATTATATAACGCTGCGGAGGAGACGTAACGCATTATGCAGTTTACCAAGTGAATTATTCTTCGAGAGATCCGGTATCTGTTTGCGTATCTGAGAGAGGCGGTGGTTTCCTATGCGGAGGAGTATACACGAAGCATAGCAAGTTTTATCGGCAGCGCGAACGTACGAATAAATAACGGACAGGCGACTGACGGAGATCAACAGTTGTGGCGAAGCCAACGAGAGCGAGATTCGCTTTTTACCGGAAAAGTCTCGCTGATCAGGCAGAGAAACAAACGGCCGGCTTGTTTACTAATTTCGATCGTGGATTATCAACACCTCAATGAGTCACGCGCAATATAACAACGCAGTCTTGCTTGCTTCAATTTCGATACTCTCTCTCTCTCCTATCGATACGTTCTCTCTCTCTCTTTTTTTTTTCGAAGAAATGTATTTATACCACGTTGCTCTAGCAAATCGGCGTCTCTCGACAAGCCTGTTTGTTATTTTCTTTTCGCGAGACGAACAAAAAAAGTTTCGCGAAAACTCACGAAACATCACAGGCAGGATTTATTCGGAACATTTCTCTCTTTCTCTCTGGAAGAAAAGGAGTTAAAGGAGCTGGCGTTTTATTTGAAAAAACGTCCATCGAAATCGAAAGCATTTGACAGGCGCTATCGCGAACGAGATTACCAGCGCCTTTTTCAATTTTTTCAATTACCAATCTTATCTGGGTTTTTTTTCTTCCTTTTTCCCTTTTTTTTTTCTTTTTCTTTCTTCTCTCTCTCTCTCTCTCTCTCTCTCTCTTAGATAAATCACAGAGCTGTCAACAAATATATTTCGGGGTACGCTATCGGTGGAAATAAATTTCGAGATCCGTTGCGTACGAAACCACATCGTGTGGACGGTACTCTGTACAATGGCGATGTGTCTAGGACTTGTCGCTTCTCACACTTATGTCCTTGATTATGTACATTACGACAGAATCTGGGATCCGTAACGTTGACAGCACGTACGACGGATAAGGTTGATCTTATCTGCACGTACGATCGCTTATTAAACGGTTCGTGCGCACTGAATCACTGTCAGTGGCAAGCTTTGGTCAGTGATAAGCAGCTGTCAGTAACCGTCGCGTCGAAAGTATCAGAATCAGTCTTGTTCTCAGCAAACATATATATATATATA